CCAAAATGTGTTTCCAAGCTCGAGATTAAGCAATATCTGTCGTTACCCGGGTGACCCACTCTTCCCACCACAATTGCCAAATCGTCCACTAGTGGTTGACTTCGCAAAGATTGGCAAACACTGAATTTAAAAAATGAGTTAAAAAAAACTTCAGCGTGGTTTGTGTCGTAAAAAAGTTTCTTATTTTTTAAACTGTTCACGTTGTGTATTGTAACCCTGGTACATTTTTTTTTCTATTCTTAGATCTGAAATATTATAATGACAATAAGTATTTTCTGGGTTCGGAGTTAGGCACGATGTTGTGTCCTTGGTAAAGGCACTTTACACGAATCTTCCCCACTTGACCCAAGCGTGAATTAGTACCCGGTCATAGTCAGCTAAAGTTCTCGTCAGTATGTGAATATTTTGGCGCCTGTAAAATGGCTGCTTGCACTGTACGCCTACCAGGAAGTTGGAATTTCTTCATTCAGAAAGCTATCAGGTGTCTGGGTAATATAGCTCATAGAGCTTGCTGTTGAGCGGGAATTTGCGCTTTACAAAATATGCTATTCATTATTACTTTGCTACTGTTTTTCAAACTACCCATATTCATTTCCGGAAAACTAAAATACTGTGTGAAATTTATCCACGAAACCTGATACTTCTTTGAACAACAGTGATTGCCAACCTGAGGAGATGTAACAAGTTGGCGAGTTGGTAACTTGGGTCGGGGGAGGGGATCCTTGGGTCGGCGGAGGGGATCACATGGGTAATGACGTGTAGTAATATTATGCCCAACTTGGAAATACCTGTAAGTGGGCTTATGAAAATACGAGCCTTAAAAAAGTGGCATGCAAAAGTGGGCGCTGGCTGCAAAAATGTTGACAAGCATTGGCCAACAAGAACCTAAGGACTACTGTGACATTGCTTAACGTTATACTGACTGCGGAGTACAGAAACATGCAGTAAAAAAAAACCCCAGTTCACCGGGAATTTATTTTGCTCACCTTTTGTCAGATGGCTCAAAGCTGTACATGAAGAACTGACTACAGATTACCAACTCCTTATAACATCTTTTAAAGAGCAATTATGTGAGATGTATTCTGATGTGTTCCTCTCACGCCGGTCAGGGTAAACCCGAGCCATCCGTTCGGAACGTATTTGACCTGTTACGTTTATCCGGGGTCTCCACTCTCTGAGAGGGCCATCATTGGTCACTTTTAAGCTCAAGGCGGCTATCCCGAAAAATGATGTTTAGAGAAAATCCAAGGTAAAGTTTTTGCCCCTTGTTCAATTTTTTTTTTAAAACAAGGAAAGC